ATATATATATATATATATATATATATATATATATATATATGTGTGTGTGTGTGTGGTTCTGTGGGTTTGCTCATGGCCCAGGAACTCTATTTATCTATCTGTGTAATCCTATAGATATATACACTTCTACCTCGATATAACGCTGTACTCAGAAGCCAGAAAATCTTACCGCATTATAGGTGAAACCGCGTTATATTGAACTTGCTTTGATCCACCGGAGTGCGCAGCTCCGCCCCCCCGGAGCACTGCTTTACCACGTTATATCCAAATTCGTGTTATATCAGGTCACGTTATATCGAGGTAGAGGAGTACATGATTACACATGTGGTTCCTAGGCAATGAGCAGACACACTGAACCACGATGTACAAACCTTGAGTCACCCCCAAAAACGTCTTTGCTCTTATTCAAAGGGATTTTGATAAAGTTCCTCAGTACGTTTGCACTCGCAGTCCCATTCTGAACTATCTTTTTTTTCTTATTGTACCAAGACTATAGTGCTCAGTGACACAGTAAGCCTTTTCTTTGCAGAAAAGAGGTATATTTTCTATACACCGGCCTCTTGCAGTTTATTTAGTCTCAATAATTTCCAACATGAAGGATGAGCTTTTCACAGGCACAAAAAGGAATTAGTGAAAGCCAGTGTGAGCTGGGCACCCAATTCCTCTTTTGTGTCTTTGAAGAAAAAAAAAAAAACAAAATCTTACCCTTCATATTTTACCAGCCAATCCAAGATGAAAGAACATCAGATAGCAACAGAAGAAAAACATCTGTCCTTTTATCTTTCTACTTCGACTATTAATTTTCCCCTAGAAGACCAGCTGTACTCTGATATGCATAATGCTAAACATACCTAGATTGCATTATTTCGTATTTATTACTTAAAAAGGGAAAACAACTAATAATGCAATTAAATGTCATATGTTTTTGTTTTATTTTTAAAAGATAAATCACAATTCTTATGCTGGTATGAGCATGATAAATTACCTGCGTTTAAAGATTTACTTGATTTACACAGAGCACTCTGAGGCAGAGACTGTTTTTTTGTTCCATGTCTGTACAGCACCTCACTCGTGAAGGGGTCCTGGTCCATGACTGGGCCCCTACATGCTACTGCAATCCAAATAATAAACAAGTAGTATTCTACTTGTGATATTAAAGCAAATAATAGACATGAGTGGAAGAAACTAGATTTCCTTCTCTTCCCTCTTTCAAGTGGGAAATTTCAGAGGGCCATGACAACGGATTATTTTCTAATTCTTGTTCAACACACACTGGACAGTGGTATGACGTGCTAGCTCTCAACCAACCTTTTACTGACATGGTGAAACATGTCTGTGCCAAGCTCCCACAAGAAACGACTTTTGAGTTTCTCAGTTCTCTTGCCATGATTTGTTCTCTTTTAATAATGTCACGTTGCAACAACCCGAGGCTGGAATGTTGCAAATCAAATGAGATGGATAATTTGTTTTAGTAGTAGATTAAAAATTGCATAGAAAATTCATATCTTCAGCTCCAAGGAGACAGAGCACGTTTCCATGGCGCAGCTACCCTGGAGCCTCATCCAAACAGAAATTTCTCTCTCTTTCCCTGCCCCATGACACGTGGATTCCCACCTGTTGGTTACATTCACAGGATACTACAGAGAAGCAAAATTCAAACAAATATCCACTCCTTGCATGGCAGCCTATTCACTGTTCTACTGCACTAAAATGGAGTGTGTTTGCTAAAGTTCAGAACGACCAAGAAGAAAATTAATCAAGGAGCTTTAGATTTTGCTTTCTTGACTCTTCTCTTCCTATGGCATTGGGGAGCTCATGGCTTGTGGCCAGCAAGTTACCTGGAATGGTGTCACCTTTCATTTTACCAATAAAATAAAAATCTATCTTGGGAGGTCTCTTAGCGGTGCCATCCCATTGCAGAAAATGTTAATACCTCCATAAAATGCACTGTTTCAATCGCGGTCTATGGAGTGTTGTCTAATTTTTCTGTTTGGGTATTTTTGGTGCTTGCCTATATAGTACCAGCAGGAAAAGGGTTATCAGACACTTACCACTTGCTGAAGTATTTGAAGTGGATTGTGTGATTGTGGTTGGAATGGATGTATTTGTAGTCCCTTCAAAGAAAAAAGAAAATAGTGAAAGAATGAACTCGTCTAGCATTAAAAACAAGCCACTTTTTGCACAATCATAATGTATTGCAATTGAATGAGCAAGTCCCAAGGGCATGCACATCTTTTCTTCATGACATCCAACTGCAGGCCACAACTAGGGTCAGGGCAGAAAGCACAGTCACACAAAGGGTGGGTCTTGTCCTATTGCAGGCAATGACAATTTTGCCATTGATTTCCCTTTCAGCAGGATCAGGGCCACATTCCTTAAGTCCAGTGATCCCTGTCCTTCCTGGGTTGGAGCCCTGCTCACCTGCCTTTTTACTAATTGCCTCCCCCTTCTCCCTTCACTTCATGGTCTGTCACAGCTGCTGCATGTGGCCACATTCTGACTGCCCGGGTCTGGATTTTTGCATTTTGGATTTTTCTCTGTTTCCCCTTTTTTTGCCCCCCAGTTTTGCTTATGAGTATTTTGGTTTTGTTTTCTCTCATGGCCCCCCATCACATTCTCTCCTCTCCTGCTTCTGCATTTGGTTTAGGCCACGTCTACAGTAAAAATAGTAATGTCAATTAGGGGTGTGATTTTTAATGACATTTCTATATTAGCAAAAGCCCTAGTGTAAACAGTTATACCGGCATAAAAGAGTTTGTGCAATTACCATAGAGTTTATTTTGCTCAGGGAACTGGTATAGTTTATTACTTTTTGGCCATCAGAAGCTGAGTCTACATTGGAAAAGTTTGCTGAGATAGCAGTGCAAACCTTTTCTGATGCAGATTAGGTCTTACGTCTCCATTTTCTCCTTACCTTCCTAGTCCCATTTTTAAAATTGATTTATTGTTTGTATTACTGTAGCGTCTAGGAGCCCTAGTAATGGATCAGGACCCCACTGTGCTAGGCACTATACAAACACAGAACAATAAGACAGTCCTATTCTTTCAGTTTTTCTCTTCCTCTCTCCCAACTTTCTCTGCTAACCCCTTCTCTTCAGTTCTCCTGCTCTCTACGTGCTCTTTCCCATGGTCTCTCCAGCCACCACTGTGGTGTGTTCCCTCTCCAGTCCTTATATCTTAATGGGGTTGTTACTCCCCATCTATGTTTGGGGCTGTTCCTTCCCTACCTTTCCCGACACCAGTTTTGGGCTGTCCCCCTCTCCTCATTTAAGGATCTCTGAAGTTGTGGCTACCACATGTTTTTTCTCTCTTCTCCCATGTTGCTGGTGTTACCCAACCACTGCCCTCCACCTCCTTCCATAATGATTGTAGTGAGAGAGCATATTGTAAAGAGCTGCCTAAGGGGGAGGGAGGGCTAGAGGTGGCAGGAGCAGGACAGAGAACCAAACATGTCCCCCTTAAAAGGTCCTGATGTTCCTAAGGTTTGGAATCTCTGCTCTAAACCTCTCCCTTCCAAGTGATTCTGTAACAGCTGCACTCAGGCAATTAGCATGTTAAGGTTTAAAAACAGATTAAGTAAATTACACACAAGCAAGCCTGTGAACATGCACACACAGTTTGCTGTGTAATTTTCATAAGACTGACTTCCAGGCATCCTGTTTGGCACATACAGAGCAATAAACAATGCTACAAAAATGCCACATGGGTATCTAATACTCAGAAAAATGATATTAGTTACTTGTCTAGTCTATGGCATTTGAGAAATAGTGTGTGATCATTAATAATTAAACATACAGGGCCTGATTAGTCTTTTGGCTACAATGATTTTATACTTGTGTAATTCCACTGACATTAGTGAAACCACCCCTCACTATCACAAGCCCTGGTACGGGGGGGGGGGGGGGGCGTCCATGCTCACTTGTGGAATTTCTTGACCTCCGAGTGCTTAACCTGTGCCACCTCGGTGCAATGTTCTGACATGGGTTACATGCCCATGCATGGGAGTGAGAATCACTGACACCACCCTACATTGCCTGCCTGGAACGTGGACCTGGGAGAGCCACTGTAACTAGAGTAGGTGGGTAGGGAGTGGTTGGGAAGAGCAAGGAAGCAGAGCCTTGGCTACACCGCCCTCCTTGTTGGCCAGCAATAAATTACAGCAGCAAGGAAACAGGGGAGGAACTGATTTTAGGGTGTGCCTCTGAGTCAAAATGCTGCGTGGGGTGGTGCAGCACATACACCACCCATTAGGGTGGATAAAAGTCAATGCTCTTAAAAAAAACAAAAAACAAAAAAACCAAGCAAGATTTTTTAAATTTAAATTAAATACAGGTTTATTTAAAAACAATTTATTTAACATTATCTTCAAGTTAACAACTTATGTTAAGGCTTACATTTATTATAATCTATTCACATTATTTAATTAAATAAAAAAGAAAATTAAGCAGTAAACTACACTCCTGTTTATCCAGAACCCTATTATCCAAACATCTGCATTATCTGAACCCCTTCCTGGTCCCCCAACATGAGACACATGCTATCGAGAGCATGCATCTCATGCTGGGGGACCAGCAAGGGATAGAGATAACATGGATGTTCGGATAATAGAGCAGAGATCCCTGTCCAGGATTGCAAGGAGGAGCAGGACAATGAGTCCCTGGCCACAGCATGGCTCCTGCCCTCTCAATTATCTAAACTCCCAATTAGTCAAATGAAATCCGTGATCCCCATGCTACTCGGATAACTGGCAATATACTGTACACGTTTGCTGCCAAGTTTTACAGGAAGTCAGACCACTGAATTGGTGGAAGTCACTGGCTAAGCACCTGGAACCAGGATCTGTTGATGTGCTAAAACCAGCTTTTGACTGCAGTAGCCTCGTCTAAAGTGCGGAGAGAATATTTTCTTCATTTCAGTTTATTTAACCAGTTCTGTTCAATGACTAGTTCAGTCAAAGTTAAGAAACCAAGTACTCAGGAAAGTTAAGACAAATCAACTAGCGCTGTGAAGTTAATGAGCATAAATTAAATCCTAAAGAGGATTAAGCTTCAACGAACTAAAACCAGTTCTGAATCAGAGCACCCACACAAGAGTTTAATTCACTTTAACTTCAAAGCTTTCATTGATTCGTTTTAACTTTTCTGAGCCTCTTCTCTGCAGCAGGGTCAGCCTAGTGCTAGTACATGGGCTACATACAACTGTTAAGAGAAAAGAGGTGAGAGAAAACAGACATGCATGCAATAGAAACTACTAAATTTGCACAAGTGACTAGGAGACTTGTGGTTACTGATTTTTGTGACTTAGCAAGAAAACAAGCACAATAGAAGAGATCAGTGATTCTGCATGGGAAAACATACTGTTTATTACTCTGACAAGGATAGTTTAGTTCTGATTATATATATAAAACAATATATCATAAAATATAAGTCAATGTCCTGTAATCTACTTCAGAAATACAATACAGCCTTAGTAATAATGAAACCTCCATTCTTACTTCCCAGTAAAGATCTCAGAATGATCAGGCTTGCAAATCAGTGAGGTGAACTAGCTCCCACTGTATTTTAAACCTAAGGTGCCCCTACAGAGTGCAGTGTAACAAGACACTTTGATATTATGATGGGACTGATGTAATGGGTAGAATACTTGTTTACAGTGAAATTTCCCAGACTGGTAACGTTAACAGCAGCATGGGAGCAGAGTTAAAAAATTTTCCCCTAGAAAGGACCCAATCCTGCAGTTCTTACTCAGAGTATAAGGGGGTGGGGAGTTTGCCTGAGAGAGGCCAGAAGGATCAAGCTTCTCTTTCCCTGGCAGTCCAAAGAATGGATTTTAATTCTGTTAAAAGTTAATTTATTGCAATGGTTTGTGTCTCAGCTAATGGAATAACCACAATTTATAAGTTCTAGTGATGACATTTTATATGCGAATTCAATCATGTGCTTTTTGAATGACCTACTTTTAATTCTGTTAAAAGTGTATGCATTATCTGATCGACCAGCTATTTTATCAGTCACTCTTCTGTTTCCCTTTGCTAGTGTCATCTGTAGATACATCTTGAAACATGACTGTTTGTGGTCTGCTCTGCTGAAGTGGATCAGCTGCATCAAGCTGGCTTAGCCTGAACGAAAGCACGTTTCCTGTGGGGATCTAAGATGGTGTCTGTCATGATGATTTATTCCCGTCTCCTGAAAACACTTGTGGTCTATACCACATGCAGTGTCAAATCTCTGATACCAGCTAACTTGGATAGACCAGAAACAAAAACTTTCATACACAGAGAATCAGTCAGTTGTTCCAGTTTTATGTGGAAAGGGTCTCAGAGTCATTTCCAACGGCTATTTCTATGAGTGTATTGATGAAATTGAGTGTGATAAGTATATATCAGGGGTCGGCAACGTTTGGCACGCGGCTTGCCAGGCTAAGCACCCTAGCGGGCCGGGCCAGTTTATTTACCTGTTGAGGCGGCAGGTTCGGCCGATCGCAGCCCCACTCGCCGCGGTTCGCCGTCCCGAGCCAATGGGTGGCAGGAAGTGGCGCGGGCGAAGGATGTGCTGGCCGCGGCTTCCCGCCACCCCATTGGCCCAGGACGGCAAACCACGGTGAGTGGGGCCGCGATCGGCCGAACCTGCCGCGTCAGCAGGTAAATAAACTGCTTACCCTGGCGAGCCGCGTGCCAAACGTTGCCAACCCCTGGTATATATAGAAAGTGGGTGTGTTAAACCTATGCATAACTAGAGGGTTGTGCACTTTGTTGCTTCTGTAGGCTAAGCTCACAGCACACGCCTGGCTCCTGGCATTCTTCCATCCCCGCCACAACCTCCCTGTGTGTCAATCTGCCATCCCACTCTATTTCAGGGACTCCCTGTAACCCCAACACCCCTCCCTTATACAGTAGAATTTTAGAGTTACAAACACCAGAGTTTCAAAATGACCAAGCAATCAACCATCCACCTCATTTGGAACCGGAAGTACGCAACAGCAGAGAGACACACAGCAAATACAGTATAGTACTTTGTTAAACATAAACTACTAAAAAATAAAGGGAAAGTTTTAAAAAAGATTTGATAGGTAAGGAAACAGTTTCTGTGCTTGTTTCATTTAAATTAAGACAGTT